ATTTCATGTAGAAATGTTCGTATTGGCATTGCTTGAGGATACAATAACCATCAAACCTCATGAATTAGGGAAAGAAATTGGATCAGTAAGTGAAGTTGGAAGTTTTGAGATCCTCTTTGTTCAAGTATGTATCGAAGCGTTAAGGTTGTGAGACGTCGCATTAATCAACGTCTTTCGAATAAAATCGTCCCTGATTTGGGTTTATGCATATGTGTATATGATCTACTCGAAGTTGGGGTCGCTTATATTCTACCAGGAGAGGGTAGTGGACACACGAGGGTGAAGGTAAATCCGAAGGTAGGTCCGATTATTGTATTTCTTGAATTTTTTTCAATGAATCCAATCAGTACTGCTTTTTCAAAGTTGCTTTTACGGATCAAAGTTCCAGTTTTGTGGTTTTGGTATACATATTCTTGAAATATTACCATAATATTGAACTTTGCTGTAGTACTGTATTTGATCTTGTATCTGCAGTTATATGTCGATTAATTTGTGATTAAGCGGAGCAGTTATTGTTAATATCACATATTTTAGTTCCGACTGGTGGTATTCCGACCATATGTTGATGAGGTGATTCAAGCTCGTGTTGTGTCTTCAACAAGTCAAGGACTCACACTTTCAGTGGAGTTTTTCGAAGACATTACAATCCCTGCTGAGCGTCTACCAGAGCCGCATGTGTTCGAACAGAGTGAACAGGTACAAATATTACTTGGTTGGAATTTTTAAACTTCCTTTTTAACCGAATTTTCATCAATTCATTGCGCCCCTTGATACATCCTTTTGTTGTTGCTCCTTTTTCAAATGAATTTCTTGATTATAATTACTTCTCAGAACTTGTTTACTTCCATTTGTAAACAGAAGAGGGAGGCCATTGTTCTAGTATTGTTGTTACTGACATTTGCAAAAGGATGCCTCATGCTGGAATCGAACCAGCGACCTTCTGTTTACTAGACAGACGCTCTGCCCCTGAGCCAATGAGGCGCTGGCTGGGTGGTCTCCGCAACTTCTCTCGAAATCGCTGCGCAGAAAGTACTCTGTGTGAAATGTTTCCGACAAGCATCAATCATCGATTGTTTTTCGCTAAGCTTCCGTAATTGATAGTCGTAATGTTCAGATATGGTATTGGGAATATCCATCGGAAGATGGAGAGCCCCCTGCTAAGCTCTACATGGATCCTGGCAAAACTGTGCGATTTCGCGTTGTGGAAAATATCTTTAAGTAGGTTTTATAAAATTACTGTAGCCATTGTTGTAACTTACTATTGGTTTTGTTCTTATGCACAGAAATATTGTGGTTTTTAATATGTGTAGTTGCTAACTCAAAAAGGGGGATCATTCAGTTGGCCTGCACCGGCTTCGTGTTAGGATAAATAAAAGACTAGATGTGAAATTAAACGGATAGAATGATTGTTTAAAAGCGTTTGCACTAGCTTGTTCGTTGTTGTTTTTGTTTACCCCTCAGTTTGCCCTTTTTGTTTTTGTATGCCGCTCAGTTTTCAAGTTGTCTCGATTTCCTCAATGGTAATATGTTGTAGTCACTGCTGACACCTTACAGGATCAATTTGAGTTCCGAGGATGTTGTTTACCAAAACATACAGAAAAGATCTATATTATTGTTCAATTCCAGGGACGTAAAACCGAATTTGACACCAGAAGAAGCTCAAAAAGAAAAGTCCTATGAAATCATTGGCACAATGGCTGAGACCGGTCTAGGCTGTGTAGCCTGGTGGTCGCCAGGGGGCGAGGATGCTGTTGAAGAAGTAGAGGACATGGATGAAGAGTAAGTGAAAGACCGAGCAGAACAATAGTTTGCTTGAAGGAGTAATCGAATTTTTTTATGGTTACCATATTATTGTTATTCGAGGTTTAGGTTAATGTGATATAGACGAAATGATCTTCTGTTATTTCAATCGGGCAGTTGTTTTAGTTCTCGTTTTTCATTGTTTTCGTTATATCTGTTATGTTAGTTTGACGTATTGAATTTTTTTGAATAAGATTTTTTCATTTCAACAAATTTAGTTTGCTTGTGTTTAGTTTTTGTTTTGGAATTTGTTTTTATATTTTTTTCAGAGAAAATAATGTAGTAGTCTAGCGCTCTAATAAATTTTGCTCCCATAGCTTGTGTAGATTAGCATAGAAACAACTCTTCCTCTGATTTTGTGGAGCGGTATTGCCAGCAGTAGATCGGAACAGGTGAACCCGTTAGTACCACAGCCGTTCGCGACTGGTTTCAGTTGTGGTTGATTTCAATTGAGTTTTTAATCGGTGTAAGCGAATACAACAACAGCAACACTTCAGATTTAATGACCTTTAATAAGGAACATAAATAAAACAGTTCAATTTTCATGAAGCCTTTTCTGTATTGAAATGTGTGGAACAGCTCTGGAGAATGAAATTTTTCTCTATTTACATTCATTAGATTCCCGCAATTTATTCATCTCCGGTTTGATCTCCCTCTATTGTTGTTTTGACCATTTACCTGTCGTTAAACCCACCAGTCTCGCCCTCTGTTTATTCGGTCTGATGGCTCTGTTTTGGTAGTTTCTTAGCGCTGTATGGTCGTTTCGTAGTGGTCGAGCTCGTACTGCTCCACCGAGCTTTCCTTGATATTTCCTTTTAGTAGATGACGGTTTCCTGCTTCTTATTTTAACTTGTGTAGGTTTTGAAGCTTTTCTGCCTCCATCGTGCTGTTTTCGTATCCATATTCCCTGTGGTGTAGGTTTCGCCAATAGGGTGGAATCATCTCCATACGGGTCGCTCGGGGTTGCGTTGGTATCGCCTTTATAGGTAAAGCTGACATTGATGATGGGTTTTTGAGTAGTTTTGATCACTGAAGCTTTGGTTGTGGAAGCTGCCTGCGTGGTTTTCTCTCGGGTGTGGCCTTGTTTAGTGGTAGAGCTGGTTGATTTCTTCGTAGCCTTGGATGTTGTTACTTTGAGGGTGGATTTGAAAAGGCGATTGGTTGAGGAATTTCCCGTAAGGTATCCATTGAAAGATGTGGTTCTAGCCTTAGTGCTAGCGCTGGTCGGAGTTCCTTCAGTAGCGCTGGTCGGAGTTGTGCTGGTTGGCTCTGTAGTGGATGAGAGCCTCGTCGTTAATGTGGGAACTGAAGGGACTGTAGAACTGATGGGTCGTGTAGTAAGGGTAGTATTTGGTACAGCGGTCGTAGAAGTTGTTGGAGAGTTAGTCGATGGTGAACTGGAGGGGACCGCTTCGGTTGTTGACGTCTTGGGAACAGGAGCTGTAGATTTGGGTGTAAATGTAGTGTTGGAAGTGAACGCACTTGTCGGTTTATTTGCCAAAGTAGTAATCATCGAAAAAAACGTCGTCAGAGTAGGATCAATAGAAGGTACACTAGCCGTCGAAGTGGGCGAAGTCACCTCAGTCGTTGAAGAAGGTGGTGGAGATCTGGGTAAGGGGTATGACCCATCAGGGGACTCTGTTGAGTCTTCTTTCACTATGTTCTGAGCTGTATTCGTTGGACTAGTGGGTTCTAAGTGTGATTCTTCCGTAGGCCTGGATAAAGGCTTTGCAACCGTTGTTGGACCAATGAATATTGGGGAAATGGGTACCAAGTATGCTGAACCTGGTGATTCGGTCGAATTCATCTTCGGTGCTTCGGTTGGCACCTCCACGTCACTGACTTGAAGGTCATCGTCTGTTGATGGCTTTTCGGTGGTGTGGGTGAATGGTGGCAGGGGCTTATTCTTGGAGTTTAGGGCCTTGAATCCGTCGATGATGTACTGATCACAGAGCAAATGCGTTATTCGGATGTTGTTTTCGGGAAGTGTCCAACTCCCGTTTTTGCACTGGATCTGAAATTAAAATTTTTGTTGAAATTATGGGAAAATTAGATTTTTGATGTATTGTCAGTTGAGGAACAGAAAAGCACTGAATAACTATTTCCGTGTATGAAAAAAAAACAGAAAACAAAAAATTGTAAGCATAAAAGAAAATAACTAGCAAAGATGAAG